TCCACAGCACACTGGCCAAAGTGATCCCTGAGTAGCGCAACGTAGCTCTTCCACAGCACATTTACCGAAGTGATCCCAGGATAGTTGTAGAGTTGTAATGTACTTATCAAGCCGTTTTTTTTTTTTTTTCGGTGGCGGCTGTTGCCGTTGGCGCGGGCGAAGCTGCTGGCAGAGCACTTCACAACTTGCGTGTGGATGCTCAGATTTTTCCCCACCCGTAGGACTGTGGGGTTGTTAGATTTTTAGAACTTTGGACTTCAGCACGCCCGGTAGCCCAACTTAGCTCTTCCACAACACACTGGCCAAAGTGGTCCCTGAGTAGCGCAACTTAGCTCTTCCATAGCACATTGGCCAAAGTGGCACAGCACACTCACCAAAGTGGTCCCTGAGTAGCCCAAAGTAGCTCTTCCACAGCACACTGGCCAAAGTGGTCCCTGAGTAGCCCAACTTAGCTCTTCCATAGCACACTCACCAAAGTGGTCCCTGAGTAGCCCAACTTAGATCTTCCATAGCACACTGGCCAAAGAGGTCCCTGACTAGCGCAACTTAGCTTTTCCACAGCACACTGGCCAATGTGGTCCCTGAGTAGCGCAACTTAGCTCTTCCACAGCATACTGGCCAAAGTGGTCCCTGAATAGCCCAACTTAGATCTTCCACAGCACACTGGCCAAAGTGGTCCCTAAGTAGCGCAACTTAGCTCTTCCACAGCACACTGGCCAAAGAGGTCCCTGACTAGCGCAACTTAGCTTTTCCACAGCGCACTGGCCAAAGTGGTCCCTGAGTAGCCCAACTTAGCTCTTCCACAGCACACTCACCAAAGTGGTCCCTGAGTAGCCCAACTTAGATCTTCCATAGCACACTGGCCAAAGTGGTCCCTGAGTAGCGCAATCTAGCTCTTCCACAGCACAATGGACCAAAGTGGTCCCTGAGTAGCCAACAGTAGCTCTTCCACAGCACACTCACCAAAGTGGTCCCTGAGTAGCCCAAAGTAGCTCTTCCACAGCACACTGGCCAAAGTGGTCC